GGCAGTGAAAGACAAATACCATATGATCTCACCTTTAACAGGAACCTAAACAACAAAACAAACAAGCAAGCAAAATATGACCAAAGACACTTAAATACAGAACAGGCTGACAGGGACCAGAGGAGAAAGGGGAGAGAATTTCAGGGGAAAAGGGGAAAGATTCACAGGAACATGTATAAAGAACACATGGACAACATCTAAGGGGGGGTGGGGAGTAAAAGACAGAAAACTGTACTTGAACAACAATTAAACTTAAAAAAATAAATAAAATGAAATAAAATTAGCTGCAGCCAGGAAAAAAAAACACTCACTCTCCCCTTGCTCGACTACGTCTCTGAGACTTTGGGTCAACGTATCCGATGCACCTGATGCCCACATGAGACCTGAGTCTGAAATACAAGCGAGAGTAATGGCCCATAATGTTAAGAAGTGTGTGTCCCTTCTCTACGTGCTCCTTATGTGTCCAAAAGCCAACTGCAAAAGTTCTTTAGGCCAGCATCTAGCCACACAATGAAAGTGGCTTACATACACAATATTGTAGTTGCCCTGCTGTGTGTGTGTGTGTGTGTGTGTGTGTGTGTGTGTGTGTGTGTAAAAAAGGAGAAAGAGTCTAGAAAACTGACTAGGAACACCAGTATTAGACACTAGTAAACAAAAAAATAATAATTTTGGATTTCTGAGACTATATACATCAAAGCACTTGGTGCTATGTTAATCTTTACTGTGACTATATATTAGTCATATGACAAAAGTAAACAGTCTATGTGATGGTATTCATTCCTGCTGGGGACCAAACATTTAGAAGATATTGTCAAAATCATATTTCTTCCTTTAAGAGTTATTACCCAATCTTTCACATGAGTATGTCACCATAATGCACATGTTGTTTTCATCAGCCCCTGATGTCACATGCAAATCCAAATACCATGAAATATGAGCCCAGTCACGGGCTTCATACCTTCACGTCTGTCACTTGCTGTCAGAAGTAATCATCACTTCACCAGTGGTAAAGTGGACAGGATGGGTGACTTTGGGCACAGAGTGAAGAACACTCAGCAGCAGTGAGTAAAGCTGGTGGATCATCTCTCAGTGAAATGCACAAACCACACACTGAGTATGGGGTGTCCTTTGCTAACTCCCCTAAATCGTTGGCTACAAACTGTATGTACCCCAGCGTTCGTCACTTGCCCAGCTTCATACATTAACAATAAAATTATTTTCATATCCTTCAGTTTGCTCAGACTTGCAACATTTTCCCATCAGTTTGGACTCCTGAAGGGACTTCAAAATAAAGCAAAACAGGACAAAATAGCCTCAGCGTTCTTATGGCAGCAGCTCTAATTAAATAAATCTCCTTGCTGAATTAGCCTCATTATTTCAAAAGAGAGCCTGTGCCCATAAAGGCCACTTCTGTTTTTCATTAACCAGTACTTCCTGGACAAGGGCAACCAAACAGAACATTTATTCAAAATGGGGCCATGAGTTCTTTTGGTTGTGTGCTAATTGCAGTAATCTGATTTTTCAAATGTATATCCTCCATAATTATGGCTGAATATTCTTAGTAGCATGGCATAGAAGCTAATTGTAGGAAACTTTGTTCTACTTTGTGTTTTCAAATAATGTAATTTTAGTCCACTATCACCCACCAGAGCCCTTTTACCCTTAGAAGGAATCGGTCGTGACTCAATTTGTGATTTTCAGGTCTCTCAAAAGTACAGGTTATACATAAATCAGCAAGTTGTAAAGACAGTTCTGGTAGGTTTTTGAAAACATTTGCAATGTGACGTCTCTAGGCAGTGGTCTTTAATCATCTCGGTGGTACAACAATATCAATAAGCTGTTGAGCGTAATTCCATGAATTCAGCAACACCCGCTGGCCCACCGCATCCATGCTCAGTAGGGGAGCTCCAGAAGCAAGAGCCACAGGGTCCTTGTCCTCAGCGAGGGTGTGAGGAGAGCCGAGGAATAGAGGCAGTCGACCCTGAGTAACCCGGGGTTGAACTACCCGGGTCCACCTTCGATATTGTCAATGAATACTGTGAGTGTATTTCCTCTCCCTTCTGATTTTCATAAAATCATCCCTTCTCTAGCTTACCTTATTGTCAGAATATAGCATACAAAATATGTATCAGTCAGCTGTTCATATCCTCAGTAAGGCTTCCAGTCAACAGCAGGCTTTCAGTAGCCAAGCTTGGGGAGAGTCAGAAGTTGCACATGGGTTTTCGACTGTGCAGGGGGTGAGGGTTGGCTCCCCTACCCTGCCATGTTGCTCAAGGGTCACACATAAAGTCTACGTCAGTGTGCTAAGTGTTGTGACAGAGGCACTCAGGGGTGCTGGCAGAACACCTGAAGTCACTGCTAACCCATGCTAGCACTGGGCTGTAGTCATGGCAACGGGTAAGAATTGCAGATTCAGTGTTATCCGAGAAATTGTTGTCCTGAACATCCAGCAGTCCTAAAGCTAGTTAGGGGCAGAGGTAAAAAATGGAGGCCGCAGAGCAAGCGCAGAACACGCTCCATGGCCCCGAAGCAGTGGAGAGCAGAGTCTGCCTGTGCAGCAGGTGGTCCCCAGAGGTTCCTCCTGCGGATGCCCAGAGGAGGAGGTGGGTGGGGTGAGGTAAGCAGAGGTCAGAGGACCTCCATGGACACACTGAGTCCCTCCGCCATTTAACAAGTAGCTGCTGAGGGCCTCCTGCGTGCCTGGCTCTAAGGCCTCAGACAACGGTCTAGGCTCTTGTGGAACAGCCGTTGCGACCCATAAGAAATTCGCAGAGAACAAAAGAAACCCGTAAAAATGTGCAATACGGAAAGACCAGAAAGGCAATGCAGAAAAGGGAAAAAGTATTTTAGACAGCCTTATGAGAACATTCCAATTTTAAACAGGATGTTTGATAAGGCTTCCCTGAAAGTCTGATTTTGAGTAAAGATCTGAGGAAGTGGGTCTTGTGGTGTCTCTCGAAGATTCCAGAAGGAAGAGCAGGTGTGAAGGCTGTGAGTCTGCAGTGTGTCTAGTGAGGACCTGGGAGCAGGGAGGAGGCCAGTTTGGCAGCAGAATGGGGTGGAGAGGTGACATCAGGAGGTGGAGTTCCCAGGAAAGTGGGGGTCCCTATAGGTCATGGTAGCCATTGTGACATTTGGAGCAGAGCCATGCCACAGTCTGGCTTATGTTTTAAAGGCATCCTGGCTGCCACCTTCAGAATAAACTGTGGGGAGCAAAGACAGAATCGGCAGGACTAGTGAGGAGGACAATCGAGATCATTCAGGTGGCAGAAGTCGGCCTGTGCAGGATGGGGCATCAAGAAGGGACAGACGGTAAAGGTAGGCTGCATGGTAAAGAGAGAAATCACAGGACTTTTTCAGGGCTCTGCAGATCCTGCAGAACATGAATCAAAATGAGGTGAGGATGCCTCCAAGGCATCTGGCCTGCCAGCTGTGGGGAGGGGGCTGTCAGGGGAGCAGGGTCTGAGGAAGGACATAACTGTTACTCACTGGTCGGTGGGAGGCCCAAAAGAGGCTGACCCGAACATGGCCCATTGAAATGACATCCCAGTAGAGGAACTGAATATGCAGTTAGAACATAATCAATGAGTTAAGCAGCCTTTGTAAAGGCATAAACAGATCAGTTCTATGTTTGGGGCCTTGTGGGTACGAGAAACACTGGGGACCACTTTGTAGAACATAGGACTGGCCAACCACTATGTGGTATTCCTGAAACTAACACAAAATAATACTGAATGTGAAAATATATATATATATATGCACATATATACATCTATGCATATATATACACTTCTGAATAAATACCGAAATGGTTAGCTCTGAGGGCACAAATGAGAAAACAGGGAAATAGGATTGAAAGTACAAAACTAAAAGGAAATAATGTACATAGAAGAAGTAGCCCAGTGCCAGGAAAAGCAGTGTCTCCAACATCCCCAATTTTTTACAGACTGAAAATTCCCTGAGGGCAGAAAATGTTCCTTTTCAGAGCAATACAAGTATAGGCTGAGCATTCAATAAAGACACAGTGAAATAACAATGCCCTTTCATTAAATTATTTTCTAAAGCATTACCACTTGAATTATTACACAACAAAATTCCACATGTGAATCTTTGACTTATCCCCAAAGCCTTTACTAAATACAGAATCCTTTCCCCTGTCTAACCAAACTGAAGAGGAACCAATTCATGCAAAATGCATGTTATATCCTCAGTTTCCATTTGACTTTAATTTTGTACAAATTTTCTTAGGGCAGATTGCCACACGAAAAAAAATAGTTGTACAGAAGTGAACCACCAATGTTGTTTTCTGCTTTGAAAACCACTTTAACTGTAGTAGGCTGGACAGGGGCCCCAGGCGGTCATCAGATAAAAATTATGTAAGTCGCCGTAATACACCCAGTCGCCTGCCCTGCTGCTTCCAATGAAGACACAGAATAAAAAGATAAACCCACCTGTGCGATAGCAGTGCAATTTGTCAAAGCAACAGGATCATGAGTAAAAAATAAGTTAAATCAAGAAGCCATGTAACTCAAATAAGACAGAGAACTACACAAACTAACTCTGAACTTGACAGTCATGTGTCCCCATGGATGCTGAAGAGTTTCTATCAAGAGTAACAGACCATCGCCGAAAATATGTACAAAGCTGGTTCGTAGTAGAACAACACATGTAAATGAAGGGCAGAAAGTTATTGGGCGTCTAAAGAGATAGACCTGCATCCCACACTTACTTAGGGTATTTTGATTAGCAGTAAAAACTTTACAGATTGGTGTCCAGTATTAGCATTAGAGAAACAGATAAAGACCCTAAGTGGAAATGGTGGAAAAGAACTTACAGAGGTGATATCCGTGTATTACCTGAAAGGCAGCTCAGTTGAATTGCAACAAACATGTAAAACATCTTTGGAAAAATAATTAATTGTATATAACATCCTTTAATATTGTAGTGAAATTCAAAGTAATCAAAAGAATATCATTGAGAGTCAGACAGAAGTACCTTACCATTCATTTCCTTGTGAAGGGTTTTCTAATAGCACTCGGATTATGTATAATAAGCAGCTTAATAATTTGAGAGAAAAATTGAACAGGCGTATTCTGAGACCTTTAAACAAACAACAGAAATTTGATTTTCATTTGAATTTAGTCCACAAAAGACTAAAAACACTTGTTAAAAATATCAACTTTAAGTACAGCACTTACATTGTACTTAAAAACTACAATACCACTATTGCCTAAACTCACTGAAGTTCTAGGTCGCTGAATTTTAATTATCTGAATATTGAAACAAAGAGCGTGATTGAAGGAATGCTTGAACTGCAAATGAGAGCAGACCTAGTGGAGAGTGAGTCTAGGTTTGAGCACCCAGAGACCACAAAAACTATGTCTCCTCAAGATTGGTTCAAAAATGCTTAGAATATTAAGCATTTCATACAGCCACGAGTTTGGGAGTAAATTTTAGCCAGCTAGAAAATCTAGCTGCTTACACATTCACAGCATAAGTTATAAAACTCTTACCTTCAGAATACCTTGCAGATTTTGATTACAGAGAAATTATAATCATGTCTATAATTATACATTATACTTCTAATTAGTAATTGCATAATTATAAAAAATCATAATAGAATGTGCTGGGAAATACAGAGATACAGAGTCATTTTGAATTTGACCAATGGAATCTTTCTTTTCCCTTTAAGTTAATTACCAGTGAAATCTCAGTATTTTTGTGGGGAGTAAGATTTTCATGTACGTCTTTTTTGAAACTGTGTAGGTCACAGTTATGCAGTCTGTCATACTTAATGAAGATGAAAAAGAGCAATTAAGAGTAGCAAAACATGCCCGAAGTCTGATTAATAGAAGCATTACCTCTCTTGCAACAATCAGGCAGCTTCTGATTCATGCATTATGAATAACATTGAGAGAAAGGTCTTCCCATAATTATTAGTTAATAAAATCTGGAAATGAAATGCCAGTTTTTTACCTTGCTACATGTGAGTGCACCTGAGGTGACATGTCTTAGCAGTAAAAGGTTAAGGCTCATTAATTGTGCAGTTTTTCCTAAGCTTTGCTATTACAATGCTATGCACATTTTATGGGTTAGCTTCTTTAGAAAGTCTTTTAAATTATTAATGAAACTGTCCTGGTTTTATAGAACTTGCCTCCCAAATGACTGCTTAGTCAAAGCTGGCTGCTGATGACATAGCCAAATCATGCATTTATCTTTTCTGGCCTGGAGAGATAGGATTGTTACTATTAAAAAAATCAAGGAAACTTTTTATTCAAAAGATGTGGCCCCCTTTGGGTGATATCCGTCAGCATGGCTTCCGTGGACACTCAAAACAGTCAGAGGAAAGAGGTGTTAGTCATCCCTGGCCCTCTCCCAGGACCTCACCTGCCACTACACCTTTCATCAGTGAGAGGTCCCCTCCTGCCAGCCTTTGCACGGTTCCCCACAACCCAGGCTGCTCTCTTTAGACCCTGCAGAGGCCCCGCTTAGTGAAGACCACCCCTAGAGGGTCCAGGGGCCCCAGTCAGAGAGGGCAAAGCTGACCCCAATGTAGTATAGACATCGTCCCTGGTTGCCAGCGTTTGAAGCCCTGCTCACACAAAAAGCCGCATCTTGCCTCATCGTGTATGACTTTCAAAAATGCGTGGTGCCATGGGGAGGCAAGAAGGATCCTTTGACACTTGGACCTTGAACAAGTTTAGGTCAGGGACTGCCAATTTCATATCCTCTCGAAGTCCCAATGCTGTCCCCAACTCATCTGGCACTAAGAACCCACAGGGATGTTAAACTCAGCTTAGCTCTGCACTTCCTGGCCCAGCTTCTCCAGAAAAGGGTGCTGGTCACCTGCCTGTTCTTTGTCACAGTGCACCACTGGGCAACACTGAACTCTGCCCCCATGGAATCAGACCATTATTCTCTCCCTTAGGATCAGCCTGAATTACAAGAGGCTTCTCATAATAAGGTGTCCCCCACAGATAAACTGTGACGACCCCCTCACTGGTCCAGGGGGCTCACTCAGAAGAACCCTACTTATTCATGTGGAATCTGGACAATTAAATGCCTTTAGCTGCCTTTAAGGCCAAGAGACCTTAATACCAGCAGATTTCTAAAATTCTACTGCCTGGCAGACAAGATTTTTTTATTGTACGGCTCTATTTAAAGGACATTTTGCAGGATTGCAATGGAATTGTTGGAGGTAAATATATATGTGCAAAAAGGCAGGGGAATAAAATGAATGACTTACTTGATCTCTGGTTTTTAATAAAAAATAACTTTAGTCTCTCTTTAAATGTGTTTTCATTCATAAAGAATTCAACTTGTACCCTGCAAACAGAAAATAAAACATAATTAATTAAATGGAAAACTAACATATAAGAAAATTTAAAATGATCTGCATTAGATTTTAAGTGAATCCCAATCACAAAAAAAAATATGAGAATTGGGTACAACATGGATTGTTATGGACACAAGCAGTTGGTTTTCAACTCAGAGACATCACCAGTTCAAATGACATTATGTAGTTAATTCAATTATCTGTATTAGTGGATGTAGTGAGTGATACAGGTCATTCAAAACAGCAGTAATACAAAAGCCTTTCATATGTGTCTGCGAAATAGTTTTTAAGTCAGTGTTTCCCAGTTTTGATCCACATCATGAGAAATAACCAAACGCCTAAAAAATGCAGTTTGAGCAAAACTGCCCCAGATGGGCTGTGTCAAAATCTTAAGGGGCCTGGCCTGATCCTTTACTTTTAACAAGCCCTTCGCTTCACCTTGACTGCATAGTAACCACATCATGGGACGCTGTCTCTCCTTATTTATTTATTTAGGCTCAGGGTGAAATAGACATTGATCAGGAAAGGAGTGATCATTTCAAATACAACGTGACGGTCACCACAGATATAAACCAGGCAAATCGACTGCGATGCTGAATATTATATATTTAATCCTCTATAAAATGATATCAACTCTCAGAAAAATAATATTTATTGCTTAAATGTATCTGCTTTCCCTTTAAATTCTTTCAAACTGCCTTTCATGCGATGGCATAATTATATTTTCAAAATATTGAGTGAAAGGAAAAACAGTGTTCAGGGTCTTGTGACTTGTTAATAATCATCATTTAAATTTTTCTTACTCTCAAACATCAGGACTGCAAAAAACAGCTAACAAAAATATTTTAGTGTTTATACAAACAAAGATTTCATTTCATTTTTTCCTAATATCATGAAATTTTGATAATATCACCCATATAGACTAGATAGGTTTCTAGTTTTGTTTTTTTGGCAGGAGCACTCGTGGGAGACAAAATTGGAGAAAAATTAGCATATGAATCTGCTCATGCATTAAAGAAATATTTCACTACTACCATCAATGCTGTATAGTCATGAACCTTCATCACTATTTTTAAAGCTATCTCTTATGCCCTAACAGTAAAAGGACTTTTTGTTATCAACTGGAAACCAAGTCGTATCTGCTATGCTTTCAAAAAGACCTGAATGCTCACTCACTTCACCTCTGTTCCTAAAGACAGACATAAAATTTTCATCCCTCTCCATCCCTTTCTTGTATATGTTCCATCCTTTGTGTTTTATTCACCTTATAAGGTTAAAGTCAAAAAAAAGGACAGAAATCAAGATTGTCTTGTTCATTTCTCCAGAAAGAAACCCTGAAAATCACAGTGTCTTCCAGCAGGACACTATGGGGATGCACACACACCCCACTCATCCACAATCCTGCACACTCATACACACCACCAAGCACACACAACCTGCATGGAGAACGCCACTAGTGTCTTGGAAATCAGTCACTGGATGTGCTTCCTTTGTTCGTAGAATAAAAAGGCAGTTCGTTTTAAACAAAGTTACTGTAATGCTGATATCAAGTTAAATTGGTTCACGTTTGCTCTGGATACCAAAGCAAATTTGAGAGGGCATGTGGCTCTTGCAGAAGTAATTCAGCAAAGGCCATCCAGGTTTGCTTCCTTGAATTATCAAATTTATAAGAACACAAGTCCCATCTTCATCTAGTAGCTGGAGTTTACTGGGCCCAACAGCAGTGCAATTTCAAGTAAAATGAGATTGTCTGCAGCCTCCATAGGAAGAGACAGCAGTAGCAGAACGGGTTCCTTTAAATATCGAGGTGCCCATCATCAGGAAGGTGCGGTGACTCATAATGTAATGCTCTGTTGTGTAGAAGAGCCGTAGAGAGGAGAGAGAAGAGAATTATCAGCGAGGTGGCCCAACTTTGAAGTGGCCGTCCATGTGAAGTAAACAGCTCTCTGACTCTTACAAACGTACCAAAAAACAATCACAATTTGCAAGTGGCTCGTGTATGTGTGTGTGTGTGTGTGTGTGTGTGTGTGTGTTCCTAAGGGTGAAGACAATTTTGCATGGCGTGAGGTCTCTTGATAAATAAACAAATTCCAAATTCTCTTTTAGTTATAACATTATGTGAAATAAAACAATAAATGTGGTCATCTAAATCTATCTTTCCTCTTAGGATTATAGATGATACTAAAGTATGGTTTGATACAAATACTTTTTAAAGTTAAAGCTGAAAAAATACAAAGCAAAACATTTTGATTCATGTCTTCTATCAAGGACAGAAGAATATCCTTTAGTTTTATGATTTATAATACATAGAGTGATGCTTGCTTTTAGCTGACCTTAGAGACAGTTCTTACCAAAATCAAGGCCGGTTATTGTTCGTATAATCTTTGGGGACTTCCTCCCGCACCACACAGTTCTCCGGTTCTCCGGGACTTGGTCCAGGGTTTAATGTTTGCTCTTCTCAATTCTGTTTATGATTTTAATTGGTTTTAAAAATCCTCTTAGGATGCCTTTTTATAAGTACAAATGTGCTCCCCCTCCTGCTTTTCCTCTCTTCCTCCCTCCCTCTTCTCATCTACATTTATCTGAATTTACTTCCACCTAGTAGGTAAATTTAGTGTATTCTTTCTGAACTTTACCAGAACTGCACAGTTTTAGATAACATACTATGGCACATCTGCCCTAATCACTTCTTAAAATGGAATTTTCTCATGCTTATACTCTGAATAAAATTCTGGACTACTTGATTACATTTACTCCAATATAATAGCATACATAGTATTGTACTTAATGGAAAACAAAGCAGTACTGCAATTATTACTAGGTGGTATTTTCTCCATTTGACATTTTTTCTTGTTTAATGATGACATTTTTATAGAGGTCAAAATGTTTTATTGGGTCACATTTGGGTAGATCTTAAATATTACTTGTTATACTATTTCTATGTATTTTATAATTTTGGTTGCTGTACAAGATGTTTCATTCTGGTGTTTTTTTGTTTTTGTTTTTGGTATTTTAAGTGGCTACTGTGTTGAACTTTATATGCAGTGGTATTTTTTTTTCAGGTTTATTTCTAGGCCTTTTTTGGCAGACAATCATGCTGTTTGACAATCTCCAATATTTCTACTTACATTTCATTGTTCTTGTCTTACCACACTGACTAGTAGTTTTGGAAGGAAAATATGAGCTGTGGAATACATTCTCATAAAAGAAGGCCTCTTGTGCCCTAGCAGTTAAACTGTTGGCCTTGAAATTGCAATAAATATTTATATTTTACTAAAAATCATACCAGGAGTGGATGGATGTTGACTGTTGTCAGAAACCTCTCTTGAATCTGTCAAGTGGATGATACATTCTTGGAGTTTTTTTTCTTACAATGATTTGGTGAATTGTTTTAACAGTTTTTCTATTATACAATTACTTTTTTCATTTCTGGTAAAATAGTTTTTGTAATAGTAAACTAGTCAGGTAATGGACTGCTGGGTTCCCTTTATATGTTTTTAGTTTTTCTTCTGTGATTGTAACGAAGATTGACGTAAGTTATCATCTTTAGATCATTCTAATATCTTCAAATATGAATTGAAAAACTCTCCAGATGTTTCTGTGCTCTGGAACAATTCTGAACACTGTGGACATTTCTTTAATTCATCATCATCAATTTTCCCTAACAGTACCAACTACATTAATATTAATTTTTCTCATTTTCCTCTCACTTGCTTGCTCTGGTTACTTGAATTTAATGCAAAAATCATGCAGCATCTTATTAAAATGCAATTTTCTTGATTAACAGTGACAATTCTTATTCAGTAATTTTAAAGTAGGCCTTACCACTTTATAACACAGAAAAATAATTCTGACCCACGTTCTCAATACATTCTTCTTTCAGAAACATTATTTTGCTTTGTTCGGTTGCTAATTGTTCAGGATGCCAATCTTTTGCAGATATTCTCTTCTGGAACTTTTAGTGGATAGAGAGAGACCATTGGCAAAAGTCTCCTGTGCGTCTCACAACACCATTCCCTCCCTGCCGCTTTCTGATTCTACAATATGGGTCAGAGAGACCTGGGTGAGTCATCTGTTACTCCCTCACCCCCGACAAGGCCACACCTGCCTGCACACCCTGGTCTTTCCGTTGCTTCTTGCCTCTTACCTCCTCATCAGGTTGATTCTTCCTTATTAGGAGAGTTCTAGGTTATCTGTAAAATGTTGCAAAAGAGCGTGGCAAACAGCAGACCCGCATGGGGTTGCGAAGAAGTGTTTGCTTAGCCCTGCCCTTTGGTCATTGACTCTGAACCAGGTTCCTTTCCATTTCCAAATATTCACTCCCAACCTCTGGTAACTCAATTATTTCACAGAGCAAACATTTAAATGGAAACTTGTAAAAAAATAAATTAATTAGTAAGCCTCCGATTGATTTTTCATCTGTAAAAAAAATCGTTTCACCAGTGCATGCTCAAGTGCTCCCCGGGTGGCTAGCCAGCTTCCATCCCTCACTACACACACACACAAAAACCTCACTTTCAGCACTTGGCAGCTCCTCCTACAGCATTTCCCAACTTCTGTTTGCCCATCTAATTTTTTTTGTCATTATTCAAGCCTAACTTTCTCATATCCTGAATCTGTTCCATCTTATAAGGAGGCAGAGATTAATTCCGATGACCTTCGATAGCATTCTCTGCATTTTTAAAATAAAATCTGAAATAATGTCCATTTTGGAAAGGGAACCTAGCTTTGTACACTCACCACACTCATGATACATACACATATAGACACACATGTCTGTGCGTGTGTGCTTAACGTGGATATAATGGCGGAATGGCAGTGCGGCGGGGGGCGGGGGGGGACGGGCTCCGGGCTGCTAACCACTCAATAATCCTGATAGCCCCTCAGTAACTGCGTTTATGCTCCTGTCATTCTCTGGTAATCAGGGCTGGAAGGTAGCTGGAAATAACAGCCTCACCGTTTCCATGGTGAAACACATTACAAGTCTGCC